AACTTGCATATCAGCGAAAAGGTTCGGCTGGAAACTATCTTTCAGAATAGCGTTTTCCTTACAAACTGACTTGTTTATTCATACAATCATCTCTGCAAATATTCTACAAATTAACTGCCTAGGAAAGAACCTTACTGAGGGTGGCCCTCTTGATTTAGATGTTAGAGGGCCATCATTTAATCTGTCCAGAAAAACTAATCCAGCCTCTTCAGACAGGTTTCTTTTTGTGAGCTCCCCTGCTGAATTAATTTACATTCAGACTGTCTTGCATGACTGTTTCAGGCATCCTAACAGACAACATCATAATGCACTTTCTAGTATGCTACTCCAGTTTTAATTATCCTTCCAAATTGCCTAGTTTTCCTCCAGTGTGCTGTAAATCGAGCTGTCAAGAACTGTTTCTTTTGTGCTTACAGAACACTTCTACAGGAAATATATGTTTGTCAAAAGGAGCCAGCTAGGATGATAAGGTAGGAGCTTTTGAACATGAATGAGCTTTCAAGCTTTGGCAATTCTCTCCCCTCCCCCAACTTTTATCTTGCTTTTCTATCATCAATGACAATGGGCATCATTTTAAATAATTTGTGTGGCTCCATTACTACAGTGCATTTATGAGTAGCAGGCAGGGATTTACAAGCTGGTGTAGGGATGCCTTTCTTTAACAATTCCAGTAGAGGCACGGATTTACAAGCTGATGCAGGGGATCTTTCTTTAATAACTCCAGTAGTTCACTCATCGCAAGACAGCCCTTCTTCAAGAAACTTGAGGAGTATCATGGCACCCAGCAGTTTTCTTTTCTCCCAAGTTAAATATCGTGGGGTACCAGTTTGATGTAGTAGTTAAGGCAACAGACTGTAAACCAGAAGACCATGAGTTCATCCTGCCTTAGTCACAAAGCCAGCTGGATGATTTTGGGCCAGTCCCCCCCCCCCCTCAACCCTAGGAAATAGCAAGGGCCACTCAGTGTCACTTGATAGTGTGATAGGCAGCATACAAATTTAATAAATAAACAGTTGCCAAAGCCTTCCCAAGAAAACTGCAGTCTTGACAATCACCAGAAATCAGCACACAAACAACCCAGTGCCTTGTATCTCATACAGATGTGCTTCAATCCCTTTATCATAATGGTTGCTCTCCAATGGACATGCTCTGTTTTGTTCATGTCCTTCCTAAAATACAGTATCCAGAACTACAGAATGACAGAGTTGGAAGTGACCTTGAAGGTCTTCTAGTCCAACCCCCTGCTCAAGCAGGAGACCCTATACCATTTCAGACAAGTGATTTTTGATTTTGATTTTGATTTTATTAACATTTGTAGGCCGCCCTTTTCCCTGAGGGGACTCAGGGCGGCTCACATAAAATCAGGGAGGGGAAATACAACAATGACATAGACACATATAATAAAAGTAATAAGCAACATACATTCATCATTCGGGAGGGGCAACTATCCTTGTCCCCAGGCCTGACGGGCTAGCCAGTTCTTCAAGGCTGTGCGGAAGGCCTGGATGGTGGTGAGGGTACGAATCTCCACAGGGAGTTCGTTCCAAAGGGTCGGGGCTACTACCGAGAAGGCCCTCCTCCTTGTAGTTGCCAGCCGGCATTGGCTGGCCGATGGAATACGGAGGAGGCCCAAGTGACTGTCCAATCTCTTCTCAAAAGAACTGGAAGGAATATCTTAGATGTAATCATAATGCAGAACGTTGAGAGGAACCTGTTTTCTGCCTTAACATTTTACTTGCCTGTTTCTCTAAATGGGCAAAAGTAAGACGTGCTGAAATTTGGTGAATTTGATGACCAAAACATTAAAAAAATATCAAGTTAATGATTATTCTAGCACTCTACATATATTAGAACTTAGGTTGCTGAAAATTAAAGGCCAGGCTAGTACAGTAAGCTACAGTGAAACAAACAGAACATATTATGCGAAACATAATTACTATATTACTTCAAAATCTAATGAAAGCACGGATCATTGGTGCTTTCTTTATTCAAATATCAACTATCGATATTAATCACAGTGCATGTTTATTATAATTACAAGATTTACCAGTACCCTTGAACCACAAAATTTAACATGCATTTTATGCTTAAATACAGTTGTTATCTGTGATTAATAGTTCCCGAGGATAGGGAATTGTGTTCCCTCTCAGATTGTGTTTATTTCTCTCAGATTATGTAAGAAAGTGAATGTTTGACCTACAGCCTGATCCCAGGAGGGAATTTGTAGTTAAATATTTTATCACAGATTTCTGAAACAACTCCAGTTTCTGAGCTTTTCAGCAATCAGTTTGATCAATGCCTGGGTAGTATTTTAATTAGACCTCAGCTTCACCTCTTTGTTCCATGTTAATAGGATGCAGCTATTCTAATTAAGAATTAAAATGCTGATGTACCTTTCCGCTGTTATCGGTATTTCATATTTCTTCTCTATTACTAGAAATCTAAAATTCTGACTAGTATGGTCCAAATTCTTGCAGTGAATTGGCTAATATTCAGCTTTTGCTGAAGCTGACATAAAAATGATTTATTTCAATTTATCCCTGTTAACAATGCTTCAGTGTGTTTTAAAGGGAGAGAGTAAAATTGAAACCCCAGCCACGTGGCACAAAGCCACAGAACCTCCATGAAACATCAACTGTCCCAGCCCAGTCCCAGCTACAGTCGCCCTCACCACCTTCTTATGCTGAAGCCCCTGACATGCTGTGTGCTGATGCCCCGGCTGAACCTTCGCTGTCTTCTTGTTTCTACTCTGCTGACTGTCCTGGCCCTGTGCGAGGCAGATGCTGGTCCTGTGGGGCCATCTTCTGAAGATCTCACAAAGAAACTACACAATCTGAGAAAGAAAGCCTTGTGCTACCAGCAGTTGCCTTGTAAAAGCCCCCAGCAGTCATGCTTGGTCAACAGTGGGAGCAAGGAGACAGTGAAGGTCAGCTAGGGTGGCAGGGGTCACAGAGTGTGGGGTGTGAAAAGAGCACAGATATGGGGAGATCGGATGGTAGATTTTAAGCACCCCAGCGGTCATAAGTGCAGGCATGCTGGCAAAGATCCAAATTTTTATCATATGACTACAGATGTGCTGCAACAGGCATATCTTAGGGACTAGTCTAAAGTGCAAGCTTGTCATATTATGCAAGTTGTAAGTCTCTTAGTTGGAGAAATGCAATATTTAAATCCCTTTATCCAATGCAGTCGAGGAAAAGGCAATTAATGCAAGATTTCTTAAAAAATATGATAGCAAAACCATAAACAGAAACTCTGCTTCTAGTCTGAAAAGATATAGGTCAACCACAGATTCTGATAATTGGCTATTTATTTTGTAATACTAGTTCTAGAATCAACAGACGGTTGAGGGGAGGAAAAGAAACCTTATGGGACATAAGGAGACAACAGCTGTTATCTCCAGAAATGAAACCAACCAGCAGAATAAAAGAGGCAGCTGGGTAGGCTGCCTCTGGGGACAACAGGAGCAGGGACAGTCTCCTGCCAGAAAGAGAAATTGGAAATTGCTCTGACTTGAACAAACAACCTTGATTTCATATTCAAAATTTCTGTTTATTTGGGAGCATTACAGAAAACGTGGGTGAAGCTGAAAGCATTACATCTACTGGAACAGGCTTTGGGCAGGCAAGAACTGGATTCCTACTTATTATATGTGCTTAAAACAAAAAAAGACAAATGTGGTATTTATAGGTGGCTTCACCATTTTCATATCAAAAAGTCACTGATTTACTGGTGCCTAAGAGGTTAGGTATATCCCTAGAGTAGGGTTCTTTTTTCCAATCTATTTAAATTGCTTAGCCTTTTCCATCACAATCATATAACAGGAAGGCAAAGGAATGGATATGTTTAAGTGCCTATTTCAGCATTTTTAAGCACTTGCAGGACTTTAAAAGAAAAAAAAGTAGACATTTGATGAATGGTTAAAGGAGCTAAACTATCGATTGAACCAACCTTGTATGAGTTAGATATGATGTTCATAATACTGCAAAAAGCGGGGATAGGATAAGCTGGGAACATATTGGAGGACAAAGAACTGAGTGTAACTTCTATTTTCTTTTTAATTTTCATTCATACAATTTTGCAAGTTAAGTTTGCATCCCCTGGGAGGAATGGATATGCTGCATAAACTTTAATGGGGATGGAGTGAAAATGTGAAATCCCAGCTTTGGCTGTTCTAAAGAAGCAGAGAAAGAAGAAATATAATCTGCTTATGCAGCAAATGATTCTCGGTATTTTTTTTTAACAAAAAGCATGAAATCAGAATGTATGCCCTCTTGCAGACATTTCTGCTGCTCCAATAGATTTTTACTTCCAAAAAAGGAACAAAAAAAACAACAACAGCCATCTTCTGGGTGCCATGCTATGTTATCCAATTTTGCCATTTCAGACAAATAGATAAAAATCAACTTTATATTGTGAATCTAATTTTCTGACAACCTCTATACTGCAGAGTGGCTCATACCAAAGTAGTTATGTGCTAATAAATAAATAAGTAAATGAATATTTTAAAAGCTTATGGGTTCCAATTCCAGGAAGGCAAGATAAATCAAATCAAATCTTTACTACAGTCACAGACCAGCATAAAGACAAGAAATAAAGTGAACATTTGAGCCAATCTCTTTTTTTCCTCTTTAGTAAGATTCACATAAGACTATTTATTTATTTGTAAAAATTTATAAGTCACTATAATCGGTTTTGGTTCTAGGTGGCAATTACAATTTGTAACATGCATAATACAAATTAACAACATAATACAAAATATAGATATAATCAAAATACATAAAAATACCATTTAAAAACAGAACACCATGCAGGTTAATATGGTTAGCTTTTTCAGGCCTGCTAATATTTCTCATCAGAATCAATTTGTCATGATGAGTTCACCCTAGTTTCTCATATGTAATAATAAACAAACAAATAAATAAATAAACATACACACACACAAACATCTATTGTCTATTGAATCTTTGTTTCCTATTACAAGTTATCGAAAAGCTCACCTCAACAAAGATGAAACATGGGATGATAGAGTAACTTCGTTGTGTATTGTCTCCCAAAGCCATTTCTCATCACACACCTCAAGGTTAGGGTCCAAAGCTATTCGAGGCTGATTGAAAAGAAAGGGGGGGGGGGGGAAAACACTAGATCAACAAAGTTATCAGACATTAAAACCTAATATGTAAAATGGGAGAAAGTAAGAGAGAAAGATAGAAAGGGTTTCTTAAAGGAATTTTACTTTGCGTTTTTGTTAAACTGTCTCAACATCAAACACAGAATCATTTCTTTTTCAAATGTAATTTTGGTTTTTCCCTGAACAAAATGTAGCTGAGCACAGTAAGTAAAGACAGCCTGTTTCTGTATCCCCCCACATTCTACTGATCTGCACTGCTTTACTGCAGTTGGTCTTGCGAATCGTGTTATCTTACAGAGGCAAACAGCATGATTTTAGTGATAAGGGGCTTGGATCTTTAAATAAGCCAGTGCAGATAGAACATTCATCATGAATTCATTAGCCAAGTTCCCATCTTGTCCAATTTGTTCAGCAATAGCAATAGCAATAGCAGTAGACTTATATACCGCTTCATAGGGCTTTCAGCCCTCTCTAAGCGGTTTACAGAGAGTCAGCATATTGGCCCCAACAATCTGGGTCCTCATTTTACCCACCTCGGAAGGATGGAAGGCTGAGTCAACCTTGAGCCGGTGAGATTTGAACCGCTGAACTGCTGATCTAGCAGTAGCCTGCAGTGCTGCATTTAACCACTGCGCCACCTTGGCTCATTCAGGGTTCACCTCTGGCAAGCTTACAAACTAGAGAATATGACAGAGGCTACTGTTTAATACTTGGGTGTGGGGGAGAGAAAGAGCAGCAGAATTCCTACAAAGTTGGGAAATGTGAACCAGGAAGATCAAGCTTAAATGTTTTATTTCCTCTGGGAGGGAAGCAGGAGCACAAGAGGTTAACCAGTCAAAAGGGAAGAAAAGGGAAATTCTAATAAGCTGAGACAGGTGGAAGGTTAATGTCAAGCAAATTTCTTTTCCGCCTTAGGCCAGAATGAAGCACATGGCAAAAACCAACACTTTATTCACATTTAAAAATGCATCAGAGAAAGTAAGAAAAGTCTGTGGCTCCTTTTTTTCCACTCCCCTTTCCCCAAAGCAGCAACCAACGAAGAGGACAAGAAAGATAGGATATAAACCTGTGTTCATCACAATAGTAATAATTGTTCTTGAATTTAAGACTCATCCATTATCGGACACAGCCAAAAGGAGTATTGGTGGCCCTTCACAGTCTTGTAAAATACAATGATGCACGGGGCTGCTATATTTCATAGTGTGCTGGCAACTGCTACAATGATCTGCTGTGCAACCCAGCTTCCATATATTCTCATGAGAAAAAGGGAAAGAGAGCAGGTGGGCAGATTTAATTTTGTCAATATAGTTCCTGATAGATCCCAGTACTGCAGTGTATTTGGCTTAGAAGACAATAACCAGTTCTTTGAAGTGGACATAAAAGCCTCCTGGTAGGCTTTTAGCAACTTGAAATCAATCTTATTCTGCAGAATCCATTTGAACCGTAAGCCCTCTGGTCACCACCTTCTGCACCACAGTTGTAGCTTCTTGATGTTTAAATGTTTTATTCATTTTCATTTTCAATTTTGTACATTCACTTATATACTGAATATTTGCAATAATAATAATATAATTAAAAAAAACCCAACCTAAACACAACTCATTACTAAAAATTACGCTAAAAAGAAAAAGGAAGGAAAAAAAAATAAAAAGAAAAAAAAAGAGAAAAATAAAAAGAAAAA